AAACAGACAGGGGGACACAATGCAGCACGCATCACAAGCGTCTAGTTTAGACAAGAAATCTTTTACTCATTCTAATATCTCTGCACTTAGCCAGCAAAGTTGTTGAAGAGAAGAACAAAGAAATAATACATCTTGCAGTACTGCAAATAGGCATAATGTTGTTGAAGATAAATTTCATCAAAAAGTAACAAAACAGGATTCGTGATTTCACAAACAAAATTTATTCGTCAAAAAAGCTCTCGTAACTTTCAATAAATAGTCACAATGAAGCAGTGGGTACACTAAAAATGATTAAAGTAATGAAAGTTAGTGCGAAAATGAAAATGACAAGAAAATGTGATGTCGTATGAGTACCGGGATTCTACAGCTTGCTAGCAGCACCTTTATCTAGAAAGAAACGAAGTTTCTTACTAAATGGCCTTACACAGGACGCAGGAACATGTTGCACATCAGAATCAAGTACAGTCTGAAAAAAAAACTATTATATCATTGTCAGTACTGATAAGTACTAATTACAAGCAAAAGCTGAAAAGGATTCAAAAAAGACGAAGAGTTTGGTCGATGCAGATGTGCAAGAATGTAAACGAAAATATGAGATTCACCTTAACCATTGCTGCTTTATCTTCTCCGGTAATAATAAAAGCTACATTCTTGGCAGCATTAAGCACTGGTAATGTGAGTGAGATTCGTTGCGATGGCGGTTTAGGAGAATCAGTAACAGCCACCACCCATGTGAGTAAGTCAGACTGCAAAGAAAGCGTAGTTCAGGCAAATACTTTTAAAAAAAGCTCAACCAAATACTGACCTTTTGAAGAAGGCGGTGGCCCGGAAAAAGACTACAAGTATGACCATCTGGGCCCATTCCAAGAAAGAGTATGTCAAATCTCGGCAAACGACCTATTTGCTCTGGACATAATGTAGCGCGAAGAGTGCTTTCGTATTGCAAAGCAGTTTTTGAAGCTGAATCATTGGTCAATCAAAAGTTTTGATAAGGTTTTAGCTCGGATAACAAACAGATAGCAGCACAAATTTATAACAACTAGTGAAAAAATCCAAACCTGATTCTGCTATCTCAACAGGAACAATGTATTGGTGACAATCTGATGGGAGGTTCGCCAGATACTGACCATAATTGCTCTCCGGATCCGTCACAGGCACAATTCTCTCATCTACCTGCAACTTTGCATAACAGCTGCGGTAATACTTGGTAATAAGGATGCCCCAGTCACTACCAGGGTCTAGTTGAATTCAATATATACGACTGGGATTGCTCAGACAACCTGTGTCATGACGCGCCTTATCCCACACACACGCATGATTTGCAACCGATCACATTCCACTACAATAGCGGCGCTGCAGAGGTACCGTAGCATTTTAGCACTGGATAGGTTTTTCATTTAAAAAAAAAAGCGGCGCTGCAGAGGTACCGTAGCATTTTAGCACTGGATAGGTTTTTCATTTTAAAAAAAAGTTGGATTCATATGAGTACGCCCGCAACATTAACGGGCATTAAATGTCTCAAGAGCAAACTCCTAGACAGATCACAGTCAAAACAGACTTTAACTTTAAATGAGTAAAAATTGTTTCAATATGTTTTAGCACGTGCAAAAGGATTCATTCAACAATGTTCACAGCTTGAGAACACAAGTCAATGACGTTGCGAGGCTAGAACCATTCACTTATAAAGCTCACCAAAAACAAGAAAATTCCAGTTATATGAGGTTCAGATAGCTTTCTCTTCCTATAGTTGTGAAACTTACCATAAATAATCGAATACGTTTCCATTCAAGATTTTCAATTGATTTGAGAACATCACAGATGAGTTTAGGCATAGAACCACCTAAAACAAAGAATAATAAATAAAAGTACTCATATTTTGCGAATGATCGCGTTTTTTTTCCATTGTCTTCAAGGGAAAAGCTCCAAAGATTAATTTCTTTACTCACAAAAAAAAATGCAAACGGACCAGCACCTACGCACCAG